GAGGGGTGTGAAAAGTACTTTTTTAAAACTTTTTCAAAAAATTCGTTTCGAATGTTTGAGATTGAGTGAGTGAGAGAGAGAAAGAGAGAGAGAGAGAGAGAGAGAGAGAGAGAGAGAGAGAGAGAGAGAGAGAGAGAGAGATGAAAAAAATGTACAATCGTTAAAAAATTTAGTTATTTATAAAAGATTGTTTTTTTTTTTTCGTTTGTTTGTTTGTCAAAACGTTTCTGGAAATTTTTTTTTTCTCTTCTTCGTAACGATGAGGAAAAAAATACGAATGAAACAAACAATAAACGGAAAATACCTGTCCTCCTTTTTGTTTTTAAAAGGATCAACTTCAAAAACAGATTTTTTTTTACGTTTTTTTTTTTTTTTTTGTTTTTTTTTTTTAAGGTATTCAAAAAGGCAACAGAAACACCGACAACGACAACAACAACAGCAAAGTTGTTGTTGTTTTTTTTATAAAATATTTTAAGTACTCTACTACCGAGTTAATAAATGTCACTTTGACAACGACAAAAAAAAGAAAAAAGGGCTCACTTAAAAGAAATTTGACGCCCTTTTTTTATTTTATTATTATTATTTTATTTTTTTATCGGTTTAAAATTTTTTTTGTTCCTTTTTTTCCTTTTTTCCTCCTTTCCTTTTTTTTTTAGTAAATCGGTCATTAAAAAAAAATTTTTAATTATAAAATAAATAAATAAAACGTACAACGAAAAACATTTCTCATGATTTTTTTTTCCCCCGTAACTTTTCATCATTTCATTTTTATTTCTCTCTTTTTTTTTTTTTAAATTATACGATTAAAAAAAAAGAAAAAGCAGAAGAAAACGATAAGAAAAAAGAAAAAAAGACGGAAAAAGCAGAAGAAAAAAATAAATAAAAAGCAGTAGAAAAAAAAATTTAAAGAATTTTTATTTAATCTTAAATTTATGAGGTTACTTTTATTTTTTTAATTTCGCGGAAAAAGAGAGAATGGGAATGGGGAGGGAGAGGAAGAGAAGGGGAGCGGAAAGGAAAAAGAAAATACTTATAAGGCCCAATAATAATAATAATAATATAAGAGCGGGGAAAAAAATAAAAAGAGAAAAAAAAAATTTTAATTTTATCCGATTTCGTAAACGTGTATTATTGATTCGAATAATTTTTTTTTTTTCTACGAATTTTAACGTCGCGATTTAATAAAATATTGGCACGGAGAAAATCTATGTTAATCCTCTAGCAGACGATAATTTTTTTTTTGAAATTATTTATACGTGATTTATGCTAGATAAAAAAAAAGGGAAAAAAGCAAAAAGAATTTTTTTAAAAATACGCGCTCACGCACGAGATTATGAGAGAAGGAAAAACAAGACTAAACGATCAACCAATCAGTAACGAGATCATTTTTTAATTAAATTTTTTTGATTGGTCGATCGATATACATCGATTATTATTTGAACCAATGAGCGCGGGGAAAACGTTTAAACGTTTATTTATTTATTTTTTTTTTTTACCTTCACGTCTCCCTTTTTTTTTTTTTTATAAAAAAGGGCCCGCCTGGAAAAGTCTGGAAAATTTTTTTTTTGTTATGGAAAAGATTGATCGGAAAATTTAGAGAGAAAACAAATTTTCTTTAAAATTTTTTTTTTTTTAAAAAAAATAAAATAAAAAAGAAATTTCTCTTTTTTCAATGTCGTAGCAATTGAATTGCTTTTCGTCGATTTATCAACTACTGAGGGTTCGAAAAGGTTCCTTTTTCTCTCTCTTTCTCTCTCATTCCTTACATCTCTCTCTCCGTCTTTTTCTAACGCATTTATGCTTATTTATCATTGTGATGATGTCGAATTATTGGGGAGAAACCTGAAAATTTATCAACGTTACAAGATTATACAAGTTAAAGGCCGAATGCGACTCTACGTTTTGAAGAAAAAGGAAAAAAAAAATATATTTCAAAGGAAAATTAAGTAATAAATTTCCTTTTAGAAAAAAAAAATTTTCCGGGTACTCAAGGTCGACGGCATATTTCTTTTATTACGGGTACTTTTTTTTTCTTTTTTTTTATGACGTAAACCAGAAACGTATTCGATATGAAAAAATTACCTTGTACGTTTGTAAAAATCACGACGGTTGCAATAATGTTAAGAAATAAATCTTCAGAAAAATTTTACATTTTTAATATTAATTCCTCGTTACGGTCCTGTTCAATGTAATTGTTAAAAAAAAAAGAAAAAAAAATAATAAATGAAAAAACTTCTCTCGTAATTAATTGTAACGGATTATTACGTTATTAAAAAAAATTACGATATTGTTAAAAAAAAACTCGAACGGATGAGGGGGAAGGAGGAAGGGAAAGAGAGAGAGGGGAAGGTAGAGTTGAAAGGAAAACTGCGGCAAAACTACCCGAAAAATTAACATTTGAAAATACTTAAACGTTCATTTACATTATTCATGTAAAAATTGTTAATTATTCAAAAGTCTAATCTAAAAGTTTTATGTAAATTATTATTATTATTAAAAAAAAAGCAGAAGATAAAAAAATTTTTTTCCTCTGTGAAACTGGAGAAGAGAAAAAGAAAAGAAAAGAAATGAAAAGAATAGGATTTTTTGTTCGTTCGTTCCATAAGAAAGAATGAAAGAATGGAAAAAAAAAAAAATTTTCCAGATCGGAAAATGAAAGAAGCAAAAAAAAAAAAAAACTATAAAAATTATTATTATTATTATTATTATTATTATTATTATTATTATTATTGAAACAAAGGAGGGAAAAAAAAAGAAAACTGGAGAGATTTTTTTTTTTTTTTTTTTGGAGAAAATATTGGATGGTTCAATATTGGTTCAAACACTTAATAATAATAAATTTGATTCCAGGTCCTGAAGGAAAAGGAAAAGGAAAAAAAAAAATTTATCCTTATGCTACTACAACTACTACTGTTGCTGCTGTTGCTACTACTACCCATGACTATTTTTTATTTTTTTTACGATTTTTTTTTTTTCCTTAAGGTAATATTTTTCGGTATTTCTTTTTTTTTTTTTGTTTTAATGGAAGGCGGTGGTGGTGGTGGTGATGGGGGGGATAAATTTTTTTTTCTTCCCCTTTTATAGACATCCCTTTCCGTGTCTTTGAGACTTCTGCCATCTTTCAAATTGTCAATTATTATAAGCCTTTTCGGTTTTTTTTCATTTCCTTCAACCTTTTTTTTTTCATCTACCACGACCGCATTTTTTTTCATCTCCTTTCCTTTCCTTTTTTCTTTTTTCTTCTACTTACTCACGTCGAGAGAAAAATTTTTATAACGTTCTAACTTCAATCCTACTACTACTACGTTTTCGTCGGTTTTTCATTTGTTTTCCTTTTTTCTAATACCACGTTTTTCCCCCCTCATTTTCCTTTCAATTTATTTGCGTGAGATGAACTTTTCTTTTTTTTTTTTTCCCTTCCCTTTTTTGTTTCAAAAGATGAATTACTCTTGTAATTTATCAACCCCATAACCACCACCATCACAAACCTCATTGTTACCACTATTATTATTATTATCATTATCTGGCGAATTTTTTTTAAAAAATTTTTTCTACCCCTCGCAAAAATTATGTTTTTTTTTTTTAATAAAATGTAAATAATACGCGCTTTTAAAACAATGTCATAGAGTAAGAAAATGAAAAGGGGGAGGGGTGAGGTATGAAATGTATTTCCGGTTTTGTTAACACATTTATTACTAATGGCGTTATTATAATCGTTAAAAATAAATTAAATTTAAAAACGCGAAAGTTATGATGATAACAACAACAACAAGTTGAGTATTTAAATTTCAGTTTTTATTTTCAAGTGTCAAAGAAAACGAAAAAGTGAGGGGAGACGGATTGGGAGAAGGAGGAGCAGTAGAGAAAAACCAGTAGTAACCTCCTCCTTCTTCCCCTCCCCCCACGGTAAAATTTTAAAATTTACATAATGTTTACAATTTTTACTTACTCCGAAATAAATATATATTTATATATGAAATGACGTATATGTGATGAAATGAAAAGGGGAACATGTTAAAAGGGTTTAAGAGAGGTGAGGAAGGGGAGAAGAGGGGGCCGCGAAAATTTTATTAAAAAAAAAAAGAAAAAAAGAAAGAAAAGTGAAATTCAACCCTTTGCATTTGACGTTAAAAATTTATTTTTGCTTAAATGCATTTTATTACTTTTAACAAAATCAGCAAATTTTATATATATATATATATATATATATATATATATATATATATATATATATATATATATATATATATATATATATATATATGAATGTATATATATATATATATATATATATGCGTATGTTAAAAGAGAAAATTTTTTTTTTTTTTTTTTTACAAATTGAATTTTCAGTACTTGTCACGCACGAATCGGATTTTAAAGACCTCCCTCCAAAGTTCCCCACAAGCTCCCATTCACTCTAAAAAAAAAAACCCGATCCGCTGCTAAATAAATCGTCCGATTTTGGTGGGACCCCTGGAAAAATTTCACACTGACGAAAGTTTTTTTTAATTTTATTTTTTCATTTAACCTTTTAACCTTTTACACCTGCTCTCTCATGGTCCCTGACATTCTTTTAACTCCCCCCACTCCCCTCAAAAAAAAAAAAATTCTATTACCGATATTATTATTTTTATTTTTTTTTTCGGGAAAAACAGAAAGAGCGAGAGAAAGAAAGAGGAAAAAGATCGGATTTTTTTTTTTTAATTTTTGCGGGGAGAGAAAGTTGGGGGGAAAGAGGGAAAGGGAGGAAAGGGGGAAAGGAAGAGAAGGAGAAGTCAAACGACAGCGGCGATAACATGAAAAACCAATCGATTTTAAATGAAAAAAAAAAAATCTAAATCCAATTAAATATTGGGATTTAATTTTTAATTTTTTTTTTTTTTTTATTTAGGGAACCGAAGTCGATACGAGAGTGAGTGGGGGAAAAATTGGGGGGCGAAGGGGGGGGTGAGAGAGGGGGCGAGAGAAATTCAAAAAAATAAGGTTTAAAAAAAACTTACCGATAACGATTAATTTTAACCTATGATTTTTAGTTTGTGATTTTCTAAAATCAACTCTGCACTTATAATCGCCTTCATCTGATTCTTCGACATTTTCAATGCTTAATGATGCTGGCTCTGTTATTGTTCTAAAATAAGCTCTTTCTTCCAGTAAATCCTTGTCTTTCCAGTGGGTCGCTTGTTCGCTTTGTTTACCTCGGCAGTCGTAGCTGAAACAACAAAAAACTTTTTAATTAAATTTTAACCAAAATTTCTTTCTCTCTCTCACTTTCACTCTCTCTCGCTTCCTCTTTTTACTTTTCCTTTCACTCGGATGGGAAAAAGATTGTTTTTCGGGTCTTTTCATCTCCTTTCCCCTCTTTTATCTCCTCACCCTTACCACTCCCTTCCTCTTTCTTATCCACTTTCATCTTATTTTCCTTAAAGAAGGCCTACCACTCATTGATTCATCCATCGTCCTTATAAATAAATGTTAAATGCTCCTTTCTTCTTCCTCTTCTAAATTTTAATTCAAATTTTTTTTTTAATATTAATAATAATATTATATTAAGAAAATTTACGTTGTTCTCCCCCCCCCCCGGAAAAACGGAGGATATTGAGGGGGATGGAAAAGAGAGATGAGGAAGAAGAAAAATTCGACAGCAAACAAAAAAAAAAAAAAAACGAACGAACGAACGAATAAAAAATTTATGTGTTGTCAATCAATCGAAACGATTATTTATTTATTTATTTTTTTATATTCACCGATATTGTAAAACGTTCGACAGGTTAAAAAAATAAACCGGAAACGGAAATTGTTATCTAATAATAATAATAATAATAAAAATGTAAATAATAATAAAAAATAAATAAATTTTTACAATAATTTGAATTTTTCTTTCTCCGCGATTTTATACGAAAAAAAAAAAAAAAAACGAAAGAAGAAAAAGAAAGAGGGGGAGAGGGAAGAGAGAGAGAGGAAAAAGAGAGGGGAGAAAAGAAAAGCTCATTTACAAAATAGTTTTCCGATTTTAACCGCCGATTTTTTTTTTTTTTATATATTATTTTACGAGTTTTTTTTTCAAAAATAGAATAACATAAATAAAAAGGAAATAGAAAATGGCAGAGAAAACGACAGACGAAAAGAAAATGGAGGATAAAGATAAAAAAAAGAAAAAGATATAAAAATGAAAAAGGAAAAAAAACGGAAGAAAAACGAAAGAAAAAAAAAATAGAAAAAGAAGAAAAAGTCGAGTAAGAAGACATTTTTCATTAAATTTACTACATTCGAATTATTATTATTATTATTATTTTTCAATATCTGTAACGTTCCATTTATTTATTTATTTTATTTTTTTTCTTTTTTTCCTATTTTCCTTTTTTTCCTTTTTTTTTTCGTATCGATGAAAGAATTAAATAAATGTAAAGGAAAAATCGATTGGAATCGAATCGATTTTCTTGTCGGGAAAATAAAAAAAAAAATTTACACACGCACGCGTTCGCAAACTTAGTCAGGCAGGCACGAACGCAGGCACGCAGACACGCACGCACGCGTTTGTTACATACATAATAAATGTATTTGTAATGTTTAAAAATAAAAATTATGTACAAAAATAACACACACACGCAATCTTCCGCGTCTCAAAGTTTTTCTTAAAGAAACAAAAAGTTTTCATTATTATTAAACAATTGAATGGAATGATAAGTTAAGTTAACAAAACACGAACGTATATTTTTTTTTGTTAAAAAAAAAAAAAAAGAAAGGAAATCGTTAATTCAGATTTTTTATTAAATAGAAAGAGAATGAAAGAGAGAGAGAGAGAATGAAACGAAGATAATTTTGAAAATTGTATTAAAGTGGAAAAAAAAGAGACCAAGAGAATTTGGGAAAGGAGAGAAAGTTTACAGAGAAAATATTGAAAAAATGTGAAATGAAACGAAAAAGGGAAGACAGAGAGAGAGAGCGAGGGAAGAGGAACAAGAAGATGAAAGAAAGAGAAAAATAGGAAGAAGAGAAAACGAAAATATACCAAATGAAATGAGAAAGGGAGAAAGAAAGAGTGGAAGACAGGTAAAAGGTAAGGAAATAAAAAGAGAGAGAATGTATGAAAAGGAAGAGAGAGAGAGGAGTCTAGAAAGGAAAGTAAAACCACGAAGGTTTTAAAAAATTATGAAATGAAGCGAGGAAGGTCGAAACACACAAACAGGAAGAGAGAAAGAGTGAGAGTGAGTTAAGAAGAAAAAAGAGAAGGATAGAAAGAGAGAAAGGGAGACAAGAAGAAGAAAGAAAGAGAAAATATACCTAAAAAAATGTAGAAGGGAAAAAGACAGTAAGAAAATAGAAAGAGTGAAGAGAGGTAAGGAAAGATAGAACGATAATATGCAAAGAAAACAGAGAAAAATATGTAAGGAAAACGAGAGAGGGATAAAAAGAAAGAGAAATTAAGGAAAAAGAAGGAGAGAGAAAGAGGAAGAGAGGGAGAGGAGTCTAGAAAGGAAAGTAAAAGTGAGAAGGTTTTAAAAAAATTATGAAATGAAGCGAGGAAGGTCGAAACAGACAAACAGGGAGAGAGAACGAGAGAGAGAGAGAAAGGGGGGGGGGTTAAGAAGAAATGAGAGAGCAAGAGAGGGAGGAAAAGAGAGAGGGGAAGAGAGAACGTAAGAAAAAAAATTTTTTTTTTTTGTAACCTGTGAAATTTGTTTTTCGAGAACAAAAAAAAAAAAAGAAAAAAAAAATAATAAGAAAAGTTTGATGAAAGACACGAAACGTTTTTTGTCGTGTCTTTAGACATTCTGGAACGGCCATTAAGGTGTTTCCTTGACATCTGTTTCTTATTGTTTCTTCCAAGACGATAATTTTACTGTTAAAAACGATAAACGACCCTCTTTTCTTTTTAATTTCTTCTCTTTTTTTTCAAACAAACAAACAAACAAACAACTTTTTACGTTTGTTATTGTCTTTAAATTATCTTTTTATAACTTTTTTTTTCTTTTTTTTTCCCTCTTCTTACAAAATTTCAAAACTTTTCTTTTTGTGGAAAATTTTTTTTTGTCGCAAAAACGACAAAAGAAAATTGTCGTAGGTCAGATTGCCCGCTTAGAGAAAAAAAAAAATTTCTTCCTTCCCCGTACGATTTTTTAAATAATAAATATACCGAAAACGGAAATAGAAAAATTCATTTTTGAAAATAATAGCAGAAAAATAAAAATTATCTTAACGACGTCGTCTGCTATTTTTTTTTACTCGACGATGTTTGTTTGAAAAAAAAAAAAAAAAAACGATCGTGAAATTTTCCAAAAATTAATTTTTTTTTGTTGATTATAAAAAACGAAAATTATTATTATTATTATTATTATTATTATTATTATTATTAATTTTTTCGCGCGTAAATATTTTTTTTTAAATTTTCTTCCTCTCTCTCTCTCTCTCTCTCTTTCTTGCTTATTCGAGAAAAAAAAAAAAAATTGATCAACAACGAAAACTATTTTACGCTTTATTAATGTCGCGAAATTGTCATTTTCTGGAAAAGAAGAAGAAGAAGAAGAAAAAGCAGAAGGAAAAAAAAGTAATAATAATAATAATAATAATAATAATTTTTGTCGTACTGGAAGGTAAAAAAAAATAAAAAAATAAAAATTGAAATAACTCATGTAAAAAATGAAAAAGAAAATTTATTTTTTTATTCCAGAATGTTATAATAATAATAATCGTCATCATAGCGCGCGACTGGAATTTTTTGTGAAACTGCGACAAAAATTTCTTTTCATTTTGTTTTTTTTTTTTTTTCTTAATTGATAACGTATCGGTGGGTAAAGGGCGGGGGGAAGGAGAAGTTGAAGAGGAGGAAGTGAAAGAAGAGGAATTAAATTCATGAAATTTCAAGTAAAAATCGGAACTTAAATTTTCTTCTTGCGAAATTATTTCGTTTTAACGTTCTTTCAAAAACGTTTAAATTTTTCAAAGAGTTTTCCTTCCCCCTCTCCCTCCCCTCCACGCCTTCCACCCTCTCCCTCATCCGTCACTTCCGATTTACCATCGTTCCTCGCACAAATGTTCCAGTAGCAATTAAGGAAAATTTTAAGCAACGAAATATTTAATAATAATAATAATTCAAACGGAAATGAAAATGAAAGGAAAAAGAAAAAAAATTAAAGGGAAAAAAGGTCGGGAGAGAGGGTAAGAGAGAGAAGGAGGAGGAGAAGAAAGAGAAAGTTAAATTATCTCGTTTTCAAATCAATCATTAAATTTAAAGCACGAATTATTTCAAATGTGTTTTTTTTTTTTTTTAACTTTAATATTTTTTTTTCGTTCCAGAAAAAAAAGGAAAAAATTTCTGGAAATTTCTGGATTTCAATTTTCACAATACAATGCGTCGAACGACCCGTGAAAAAAAATTTTTTTTCTCAAAATTTAAATGAAAAAAAAAAAAAAAAAAAACCTAACCGGAATGGAAAAACGAAAAATTTTTTTTCCCTCTCATTTGTGACGTAATAATATGCGTTACAAAAAAAAAGTGAGGGGAAGGGAAATTCATCATGCAAAAATCCGGTTTCCGGTTTCTGTTTTTTTTTTTTTTAAATCCGGAAATTACCGAGAAATTTTTTTTTTTTATAGGTTTGATTACGTATTTAATTGATGCATTTCCTATTTTGAGGTTTTCCTTATTTCGTTAATTTGAATTTTTAGAAAGGGGGAGGGAAAAGGCGCGAAAATTTTATTTACGTGCAAAAATGACATAATCAACTTCTCATATTCAAAACTCGTGGAATTCTTCTGTATGTTTCCTCCTTTAATAATAATAATAATTATTTTTTCATTCAAATTTGAATTCTTATTCAAATCTTTTCCTTTTTTCCAAACCCTCAATAATAATAATAATAATAATAATAATAATAATAATAATAATAATAATAATAATAATAATAATAATAATAATAATAATAATAATAATAAAAAGACTGTGAAAATTTATTTATTTTTATTTTTTTATTTTATTTTTTCCAGTTTCTAGTTTTGAGTTTATTTTATCGGAGAGTTGAAAATTTTTTCAGGTTAAATAAAAAGAAAGAAAAAAAAAAGAAAAAAAAATTGACAAAACAATAAAACTTCATTTGTTGGAAAGAAAAGAAAAGAAAAGGGGGAAAGAAAATGGGAAAAAGGGAGAAAAAAAAGATGAGGAGAAGGAGAAGGAGGAAAAAAAAAGTTTTTCTCCCAAAAAAAAAAAAAAAAGGAAAAAATTCGAAAAGACGTTTTTTTTCTTTTTTTTTTTTCTTCTCTTTCCAGGAGGAAGCGGAGGAAGAGGCGAAGGAGAGAAAGCAACAAAAAAATAAAAATAAAAAGAAATAAAATAAAAAATAATAAAGAAATAACAAAAAAAAAAAAAAAAACGCGTCATGTGAAGAAACAGATTGTTATATATAAAACGTGATG